ATACCTAATAAAACTAGAATGTCTCCCAGATCAATCCTCGGGATCAGACTTAAGTGGCTCAACGTTCACTTGCTCGTATGGAATTGGCAAGGCCAATGTAACTCCAGCGGTAGCAAGGGCTTTGAGCCACCCATGTTTGAATCCTCGATTCTCGAATTTAGGGACCTCATCTACGTATTCCTTCAAGGCGGTGCTCTTCCCAGCTTCTAGCGCCGTAGAAGCTGCAGGTTCGGCTTTTTCCTTCGCCGCCTTCAATTCTTCTAACTCGACCTCTGCCTTGGAAAGCGCCTCCTGGGCTAACTTAAGTGACTCCTCGCTCGCGTTCGCCTTATCCTCGGCTTCAGATCTGAGCTAGTTAGCAGTCCGAGCCCTCTCATTTTCAGCTTCGGCTCGAGTACTTTCCATTACGGCCCTTATCGCCTCGAACTCGGCCCTGTTTCTTTCACCTTCAGCTTCAAACTTTAAGCGGCCAATTCTTTCAATGGCATCACGCTGTCGGCGGCCTAGTTCGGCTATCCTTCCAACCATCTGCAAAACAAGTTTGGATCACCATATCAAGCAACATTGTATGCAAACCAAACCAAACGAGCAAAAAAGAAAAGTATTGTATACATATCAGAAGTGCCGACTGGGCAGCGAATGCTATAGCTACCAAGTCCGGCTCTTCTCGAAAGGTGGCCTTGTTAGCCAGTAGCGAAACGGAGGCGGCCAAGCTCAACGCCACGGCTGGATCCTTCATGGCAGATGCATCAGAGGAGATTGGCGTGTCTTTGATCTTTGGTTGAACAACGAAGGGGACAACCACGTCGGACTCCTCTAAGCGAGGCCGTTTGTCAGCAGGGCTATCCTCTGAGCCAGCCTTTCCCTCGGTGGAACGCTTTTCGCCCCGCTCTTTTGAAACCAACCGTTCTTCCGTAAGCTGCTGTTCAGCCCCTTCCGTCTCAGCCACAACAACTTGCGCCGTGTTTTCTCCAATAACCGGTTGTAAAGATTCAACCGGGGCAGGCTCAGAACGAGCGACCTCGGCTTTCTTTCGAGCGATCAATCGCTCGGCATTTCTCTTTCTCGCCATCTGCGTGAGATTCTCCCTAGCCATGTCTTCTGAAAAAGTGTCGGGAAGGTCTCCCAAGTTTGTAAAAATATCTCCGAAGGAAAACTCCGCCTGACCCGAAGTGGACGGTGAGTTAGGCTGGTTAAGACCGGCTGCCTCAAACGCTGATTTCAGAGCTTCGTCGACCTTTTCGACCTCGGCGGTGAACTCCCTCGTTAATTCGGCATCTACCTCGACAACCGGCTCTAAGCCTTGCTCCGAATAAGAAGTTTCGAGACCAATTTGCCTAAGGATCTTAAAATTAGGGAAGACAAGAGCCGTAAGGTGTTGCTCGCCGGTTGGGATCGGGATGTCATCTGCAACCGAGAACGTAGTGTAGGTAGGCTTGTACCTCAGGAGAATATGGGCAACCCTCCCTTGCTTCTGTACGTTTGGACGGCCAAAGTACTTTAGTGCAGTTTTAATTTCCGCAAGGACTGCGTCGTCAGCCGAGGTCAAAATCTTCTTCAACTTATTGCCTGCAAGAACAAAGGGTAAGGTTTGGAGAAAAAGCCGCATAAAAGAAAGATTAACAAACAAGGAGTCACACGGCAACCTGGTTCACCCCTTTATCTGGGAATAGGGTCTAGGCGATCTTCGCCTTCGCCAAACTCCCAGTTGCCTCGGACATTAACCATTACATCGTCAACCCGTTTGCCAGAGCTGGTAAGCATTGTTACCAAGTGATGGTCGGTGTCCTTGGCCCTGGGAAAGTAGCGCTCCAGCCGACCGGAGGATTTGGCTAAAGTATAGCAGTGCCAAATCGCCGGAATGCCAAGGTTGATCCTGAGACGTCGGTTCAACTCTACGATTCCCATTACGATTCGGAAAAAATTCACATTGGATTGCGAAGGAATCAGACTCCAATAGCGGAGAGCGGCCCTGAGAAATGGGTGTAGGGGAAAGTGAACTCTGCCCTCTGCAATAGACAGGAGAGGGAAGACGATTGTATTTTGGTTGTCTCTCTCCATATCAAGGGTATTGTCCATTACCAGCGAAAGATGGACATCCTCAGGGATAGAAAAATGTCTTCGGAACCCGAAATTCGACCCTCGGAAAGGAGGTCTTTCAAATGCCTAGCCATTCTAGTAAGGACTCAAGGATATTCTAAACAAAAAATAAAAGCGGAAAATAGGATTGCAAGGAGAAGAGAAGAAAACTTACGAAAGGCAAAGGAGACAAGGAGAGAACGGACAGGAGTTGCAGAAAATAGGTCGAAAAAGAGATACCGACTGGCAATCTAGGAGGTTCAAATATTTGAAAAAGTATGTTTTCGAAGGGACTTAAGTTTCAAATAGTAATAAATGCGAGAGGAGCACGAATGGGGCGGGAAAGCGTCATACTGACCAAAAAACACGTACGCCTTCTGACACGCATCGGGAAGAGGATTAACCGCTGAATTTTTGACTTCTAGCCAAACACGCCGACTAACTGATGCAAGCAAGGTGTTTGGGGGCTAATTGTGGGAGCCAGATAATTGGAATAATTAGAAGCGAACTATAGAACAGATATTACATGGCTCTACCCTGCACGATAAGGATGCTGAATAAAATAGATAGACCGAATAAATACTGAACTATGGAGCCGAGTAAATAAGAGAATAATGAGTGACAAGTGGGCCTGGCCACGAGGCCCAGGAAATAAGTATAAATAAGGGAACAACAGATTGAGAAAAGGAGGTGAAAATTATTGTGCTTAACTTAGAATACAAGCATTCTTGACTGTATAGACTAACTTGTCCGTCGGAGTGCTAATTCCGGCACTCCCGACCAGAGTGTTTATTCATTTTTAGGTGACTATCAGCGGATCTCGAGCGCTCCTCAGGATCAGAAGAGTATTTCCAAACCACATCTCCACAATGACTTTGTTTTTCCCTTAGAAAAAGGTCTTGCATTAATTTGAAGGAATTAGTCAACTTATGTAGTAGAGTGTGGTTTACTCGCGAAGCGTTGTGGGATGGACATCTATTGGGTTCCTACATGGGCTCCCACATAGGTCCCCAGTTGACTGGCTTCCTGAGAACGGAGTTTCCACAGACGGCGCCAAATGAAGCAGCCAATCTCCTATTAGCACAATATTGTCCGTTTTGGGTGTACCTTCACGGCTTTGTTCTTTCCTTAAGAAGAGGCTCGTCAAATGAAGCAACCAACCCCTTATTAGCATAATATTGTTCGCCTTGGGTGTATACTCACTACTTTGTTCTTTCCTTAGGAAAATGTCTTGTGCTAATGTGAAGGAAGTCAACTTATACAGTAGAGTGTGGTTTACTCACGGAGCGATGTGAGATGAAAACTCATTGGGCTCCCACAATATTGTAATTTGATTTTAAGAGATTTTTTTTTAATAATTTTCTTATTAATCACTCTTATGTTGCCTATATATAGGTTTCTTTATTATAATGTAAGATACACAATATTAAATATATACATAATATAATATTCTCTCTCTCTCTCTCTCTCACACTTACAGATATTGTAACATGGCACACCATCACATAAGCCGCCCTTTGGCGCATTCTTTCATCTGTTGCCATCACCGTTCAATACCACGACATAAGTTATATGTATGACATGTTTTCTGGTTCAACACCCATTCTTCTTTTACAACGGTTTGACACAACCATAAACTGTCTCCTAGCATTAGCTCCATTAGCTCTGACCCTGCTCTTACAATGGTCCAGCATGACCATAAATTGTCATCTGCCGTTAGCCTCGATTGCTCCTACAACGGTCCAGCATGACCATAAATTGTCTTCCAACATTATTATTATTATTATTTTCTCTAGTTTCTCTTTCCAAAATTTCAGTTAGTCTCTTTGCAACCACCTTGAGTTTGAAGGGGGGTTGTTAGTGAATATTATATATATATATATATATCCACTATCTATGTATATATTAGATGTTGTAATTAGGTTTTAACATATTAAGATATTTTCATAACTTTCTTATTGTCCACTCTTACATTGCCTATATATTGGCTTCTTCATTGTATTAAAAGATTCACAATATTGAATATACACATAATATAATACTCTCTTTCTCTCTCTTAGGTATTGTAATACAATATAAGCTTTGCTAATTGTGCAATGTTTGATGGGCATTAGGTATAAAACAATATTTGGAAGGCCATTGGTTTCTTTCGGCTATAGTTTAACTTGATTTTGAGGGAGTGTATATGGATTTCACTATACTGTTGGACCTATTTAAGCCTTTTTTGCTCGACTTTCTATCTGATAAGAGTTCTTATAATCACTTTTAGAGAAATTTGTTACGGGCTGATTACCTCTTCTACCTTTATTTGCCTAGAAAAAAAATAACTTTGTTATTGTACTGAGTAGAATACTTAAAGTGATTTTACAAAAGAGAAGATGGTGAACATCGAGACAGATAAGATTGAAATGATGATTCAGCGCATGAGATTCTTACTAAATGAGGTTCAGAAAAGACAAAATGTACACAGTTTCTAGCGTACGAGATTCTAACTACAGTGGAGAAATGGAAGTTTAGGGAGAGCACATGATATACACAATTTTTCTCTATTTAAAAAGTGGTAGTTTCTTAAGCCTTTTGAGAAGTATGGAAAAAAATTCTATGGATCAAACGGTTGCAATTATCCATCCAAGCCTCAGCTAATGAGGATCCTAGGATATTTGCCCCTTCACGAGTCAACCAAAAAGTTACGTAAACCTGTTACCAAACTAATTAAAGTGATGCCAATGAAAGATATGTATTCTTACAAGTAGATTCATTTGGATCTCCAACTTAAAAAAATGCTTAATATAATAACTTGCTTGATTCATAGAACCAGGCTGGCAAAACACTTTCTTCTTGCTGAACTTGCCTTTGTTTATTTATAATGTATCCAAATAATTTAATCATAAAACAGAACCAAATGAAAAGACAGCATGACATGAATTAAGAAAGTAATTAAAACTTTTTCTTTGATTAATTACATGATTTGGCGAAATGGGTATGTGTCCCTTTGAAGGAACGCAAATGTTTCAAACACCAAAAATGCAATTCGTACTCGGAAACAACCTCTTCCAGAAATACAATCGAGGTTGCATATATCTTGCCCTCCTTAGATCCCATTTTTGCAGTTTTAGCAGAAGTCTCGTGCACTATGTCGCTCTTTTTTTATACTAAAAAAACAGTGTGTATCTCAACAAAGATCTATGCATTTTCAGTAAATACAAAGTTTGAGAAGCCATGGTTGAAATCATCCTATACATTTAATTGTTGTCTTGTGTTCTGTGACTGTTGAGGCCTCATTTCTCTGTTAGCAGCAAACCATTGAACTGTTCTTCCGGCAATCGGCAACCAAAGCCTCTTCAATCTCTCCTCCTTTGCAGCATTTTCAGGGAGAGAAGATTCTCTAACACTGTTCTTCATACTCAATTCTCTGAATCTTGGATGAACCGTTATCTCTGACATCGATCTCTTCTCAGTCGGATACAAAACTTTCGATCCACTACTTGAATCGGCTTTTGAATCACTACCCTGATTAGTTTTACCAACCCTGTTTTCAAAAACCCTTTTCCTCTCCATCTCGTCCTTAATCTTCATAATTTGATCTTCATCACTCAGTTCCAACGAAGGGAATCTATCGCTTGAAGTAGCAACGAGCATCTCTGAATTCAAGAACAAGAGGTCAGAGGAGCTGACGTTGCTCCACCTGTTTTTCAGTACCCCATCAGATACAATAATCTTGTGATTGAATTTATGTAAAAATTCATTATTAAGATCATCAGCTTCGTGGTCGTAACAATTTTCTTGGATTGGCAATTCATCTTCCATCTTACCCTTTTCGCCTTTCCTAAAACTGCTTCCAATGCTAAATCTTGAGGACCCGTGCGCGCGATCTTCTTCTCTCTGCACGAAGAGGTTGACATTCGAGTCCTCTCGTAGCTCTGACTGGCTGTTGTTCCACAAGAACCTCAAGCTATTCGAGTATGTCGATAGCGCAAGGTCATCCGCGCTGACCTTGTGCCTACAGAGAGGACAGCTTGAGTGCTTTTCCAGCCACTGATCAACACAACCGATGTGAAAAGCATGTTTGCATTTAGGCAACAACCGTAGAACTTCGATATCTTCGAATTTTGAGAGGCAGACTGAACATTCTAGACCTTCCCGCGACCCTCTAAGCGAAGAGAATCTAAAAAAGGGGAGTGATTCGATAACTGTCTTGTCAATTCCCGAGAATCGAGACCCTGATCTTAAAAATCCGTCCAGATTTTGATGATTGTTGTGAACAGATGCCCCTCTGTGACAGAACTTTGCGTACACCAAAAGCATGAATGTTAATGAAAACATAATGGCTAGGATGCCGATGACCACCGCGAGGCTCGGTTGGAAATTGGAGCCGGAAGAGGAGGAATCCGGTGACGGCATGCCATCCGGGGTGGAGGGAGGCTGTGCTAAAACTTGGGAGGACACGAAAAGCAGAAGTAAAATGAGTTGATGATGCATAGGAAGATTGCCGGAAAGTAGAGAAATTTTCCGGGAAAATGTTTAATCTTTGTGTGGGGAAGGGTGTGGAAGTTTTATATGTAGTGATGTGGTTGTTTGACTTTGGTTAGTTGTGCATGAATGTTTTAATATGCCTCCCCCAAAAGGGTATCCTTTTTAGTTGTCAGTTTTCTTGTGGGGGCATCAAAGGCTATTATTGTGTGTCTCAATTTGAGAAGATATTTTAATTTTTGCTGCATGTGTTTTTAAATTTTGAAAATCAATAGTGATGAAGAGGTGTAGAGAGAGGCTCTTAAATTGGTGATTCAATCGGAGAGGTATTAATATTATTGAAGCTCATTGATTCATTCTGAACTTATTTCAATAATTTTAATCATTCCTTTTATAAATCTCATCAAGTATATAATCTATGTCAAAAATAAATTGATCGGATATTATATTGCATTTGTTATTTTGAAAATAATCTGCTTATTTTTTTAAAACAAATAGAATTTGATCATATAATTACTAATTTTCAATCAATTTAATTTTTTACACTACTAATCTTCCTAACAAGTCTTAAAAAAAAATATTCTATATCACTGATAAAAGCTCAAGCCCACTGAATCTGAACAGTAACTCTCCAATTGAATCATCAGTTGAAGAGAACCAAAACCTTATAATTTATTTACACATTTAAGTTGTGACTTGCTAGTCATTGGAGAGGATTTTAATATTATAATGTAAGACATCATTGAATAAAAATAATAAAAGCATCTTATAATATTTCATGTAGTAATTTAAAAATCAACCCCGGTTGGTAGCTCGAAAATTAGTGGGTCGAATGGGTCGAAAGATCAAAACGACGCCGTTTTGATCTTTGTATTTTTTTTTCAACAAAAGGAAGAAGAAGACGCGGGGAGGAGGAAGGAGGAGGAGGGGAGGGGAGAGGAGGAAGAGAAGGAGGGGAGGGGAGGGGGCCAACAAACTCGGGACTGAGGCAGGGGCGGAGGTGTGGCGGCGAGGCAGAGGCAGAGGCAGAGCTGCAGCGAGGACGGCGAGGCGACGAGGACATCGGCAGAACCAGCACCCCGTCTCCCTCTCTTCTCCTTCTCCTCTCTTCTCTCCCTCTCTTAGAATTCGACCCAAATTTCGACCCACGAAATTCGAGCACCCACCCATTTTTCCTTAAAAATTTGGCATTGTCTGCCATCATCAATCTTGGGATGGAACAGTAACTTGCCTAAATCATTTTATATGATATGACATGTTTTTTCCCAAAACACGACACTATCAATGGCTTGATGTGATGTGTTCTACTTTTTCTCTTTGATATTTTAATTAAAAAGTTTTCTTACTTTAGTTTAAAAAAAAAAACCATTTTAAAGTATTTATTCGACTTTTTCTTTGTAACTACAATGGTTACAATGGTTTGGGAGTGATAGATGAGATTTGAGATTTATAAATTTGTTTATTCTAAAGTTTTAGGTTTAATTTTCCTTGGTGATAGATGAGATTTGAGATTTATAAATTTGTTTATTCTAAAGTTTTAGGTTTAATTTTCCTTGTCTATAAAACTCTTGAGAGAATAAATTTTTTTCGGAAAATTTGTTCGGTCTGTAGAGATCTAATCTAATGCGTACAAGTTGGTGCAAGATATCATAAATATCAAAAATTAATTATATTAATTTTTTTTTTCTCTTTGTGCTTCCAATTAAATTATCAATACCTAAGGGCATTTTTTTTTTTCTTTTCAATTGAAATCTGGAAACAAAAAATTTTTGAAAACTGCTTTCATTTTCACAAAATCGGCAATAGGTTTTAAAATTTTAGAAGAAAAATATATTTTTACTTATTCTTAAAATGAGTTCTCATTCATTCGTCTATTGACAGCATCATTGGCCATCATCTCTTTGACAATTCAATAAATATGTTTTTTTTTTGTTTTTTTATTATATATGTTTTGAAAATACATGTAATTTTAGGAAATTGACAATGTCATAAAATGCTACCCCTACTTTAGGTTTTTTTTTTTTTTGAATAATGTTTAAAGGCATGTCATGGTCTTTAATAAAGAGCATGATCAATTACATCACAAGCTCCTTAAAATACCCAGAAAGTCAAGGATTAGGATCAATTCCTACCTATAAGTGAATGTGATATCATTGCATACAACAACAATCTTATCATTATTTAACTATTAATCTAAAGTCAGCTTATATAATTATTAACCTCAAAGTTCAACTTTTATAAAATAGTTGGTTCTCAACCTAAAGGATAAACATGTAACAGGAGGACAAGATTACTTTAATTTTAGGAAAAATTATAAATACACCCCTTAAAATTTGATTAAAATACGAATCATCTCTTGTAGCTTTGAAAATTATATTCCATCTATAAGGTTTCTAATTTCATAACAAATCGCCCATTTTATTAATAAATCATTAAGTTAATTAATAATTTTTAATGATGTTAAAAATATGTTTCAATTAATAATTTAAGTAATTTTATTATTATATAGGAGAGCAATTATGAATTTTATTTTTTTAGTTAATTTTATTAAATAAAAAATTTTAATAAAATAGTATTTATAATTTTTTAAATCATAAAAAATAATCTATATTTTAAACAAACTTTAAAAAGTATATTTATAATTTATCCTTGATTTACTTTTATTCTTGGAGCGTGTCAGTCATAGGCATGGACAAGCAAGACAGCTGGTTATAAGTGGGCAAAATTGCCATCTGAAGCCCCAAACTTCTGTTTGAAATTTAGGGTTCCAAAAAATATAGACCTTATCTAAATATATATTTTTTAGTTTATTTTCCGTTTGGGAAGTGGGTTGGCTTTTTGGCTTTTTGGCTTTTTGGCTATTTTAGCCTGGGCTATTTTAGCCTGGTTTGGGAAGGGCTTTTTGGCTTTTTGGCTTTTTTGGCTTTTTTTGTGAGAGAGGATTGTAATGATTATGGGTTGGATTTGATGTTTTGTTTTTTGTGGCTAAAATAGCCTATTTTGTTTTTTGTGGCTATTTTAGCCAAAAAAGTCTGGCTTTTTGCTTGCCAAACGAAGGCTTAATAGGCCTTGAATAAAAGGCCCAATTCAAACTGAAAGAGAAGAATAATTAATATTTAAATAATATTTTGTTACAATCTGTTTAATTTTTGTTAGGTTGCATTTGGTGTAGGCCTTGTTTGGCATAAATTAAAAAATTTAAAAAGTCAAAAAGTTACTATCTTATTTAAGTCATATCATCTTATTTAAGTCACATCGCTTCTCTACCACATCACTTCAAATCCAATTCACACCCAACTCATATTTCATAAAAAGTCAAAAAATATACTTATTTAGATCATTCCAAACAATTCCTTAGTTTTACAATTATTATTCTCTTTTTAGAGTTGTGATTTGAGTGTGAAATTATGAGTTGAGTTTTGAGTAATTGAAAATTTGTTTGATTATGAATTTTAAACATAGTTTTGAAAAGAATTTTTAAATTTTTGAATTTTGAAAAGCGCAGATTGGGTTTACCCAGTCGTCCATCCGGACGTCCAGCCGGAACAGTGCAATTTTTTTTTTCAATTGCAACATGTTATTTGAAAAAATATATATATATATATATATATATATATATTTGTTTTAGATATTTTTTAAATATAGAAATTAATTTTTTAGATTTTTTGTAAGAAGAATTTAACAATCTCATTACTAATCATTTTCAACTCTATATCATCAAAAAAAGTTTTGAATTTTAAATTTTGAGTTGTGTGTTTGATTATGAGTTTTGAAATTAATTTTTGAATTTAGTTTTGAGTAATTTTAAGATGTGTATTTAGTTATGAATTTTGAAAAATGATTTGAAAAGTTTACCTTTAAAATTATGAATTTGAAAGCAAACCAAACGGAACCTTAGTTTTTCCTTTATTATAAATTGGAATATTTCAATATCTAAAACTTTTTCCTCATTCTCATTATGTTTTTTTATCACTTTAACATTTGATTTTGTGCCCATTATAGTGCCAATAGAATTTGATGACAATTTTGATAAGAAACGCAGTAGGGGTGATTAGTAATTTTCTATTTGCATTATTATTGGAGCAGAGGATAAGGAACATCTTCTCCGTAATAAGAGGAAGTTGTTATAGCCTGGCAGGTGGTCTGTTAAAAAGAAACAGAGTACTAGGTTCTAAATTCTGTTGAACCTTTCTCCTTTTGGAATCAGCTTCTCTCCTGTGAGATTTTTCAATTGGAGGGTTTTGTTGAGTTTTTTTTTTTTTTAAGTTTATTGCGAAACTTATATTGATAATTTAAATTATTCGATATATAAAATTTGTTGAGTATTTTAGCCTTATGAAAATTACATCGATTGAATATCAAAAGGTTATTTGATCAGATCACATTTGTGTCAACAATTTATTTCTGAACCTTACGTGTAGATTCTAATAGGTGAACTTATTATTCAATAGATCCTATGATAATTAATAGCGTTTTCCCTCAACCACTATTGAAAAATTCACGAATTACTAATTTTTAGCGACAGTTTAAAAGATTCGTTATAGAAAAACATCACTAATTGTAAGTTTTAGCGATAATTTATAAAAATTGTTACAAAAAGTTATTAATTATCAATTTTTAACGACATATGTAAAAAATTATTACAAAAAATTATTTTTAACAACAATTTTATTATGAATTATTTTTTATAGGATTTGATAGGAATTAATTCTAATTATTAGTAGCTATTGATAGTTTACTCTTTATTTTTAAAATCGTAGTTAATGTTGACACAAATTTGATCTAATTAAATGGCTATTGATGATCAAAGTGATTTTTGTAAGGATGAAATATTTGACAATATATATTAAATTGTTCGGATCATCAATGTTGACTGCATAGTGAGCCCACAAAATCCAACAACATACTCTAATCTAATTTCGGACAGGAGGTAAGCAAACCCTTCCTTTTCACATTCCCATTTGTGGAAATCAAGTTTTAAAGAATAAACACACACTCAATATTAAGTATTGTTAAATCTATCACAAACATATATAAATAGATGAAATTTTATAAAATTTATTAGTGCAATCCATCTTATTTATTTATTTTTTATCTGTTCATAAATTTTATATTTG